TTGACCCCGCGTAGTACAACCGGCACTTGAACTACGCCGCTTACTATGCTCTTGGCGCTCTTTTTGGTTTGTTTTTCCTGGCTATACGTTTATTTTTTTCCCCATTTGGCTCTGGCGCAGGCGAGTTGGCCAAAAAGAGCGCAAGAGAGCGGCTAAGAGAGCATAAGCCATTGGCAAGCCGGCAAAAATAGAAGAAAAAATTGGTTAAACTGGGAACATGAGTTTTATGCTTGAAATTCAATAGAATTAAATCTTAGAAACCATACATTTTTATTAAAAAACTAATCTTTGATAATTAAATGAACCTTAAAATTTAAAATGCCTTTTAAGTTGGCTAAAATCAACTTACTTTGCCCAAAGTTGCTGGTGTTTAGCACTTGACTTGATTTGCTGGTAGTATTTGCCTAGTCTCGTGTTGTCTATATATTCTTAAATAATTATTTAAGCCCCTTTCTTTGAAACCCCTTTTGGATATCACAAACACAAAGCACAAAGGCGCACTCACACTTTAAGCACCATGTGCGCCTGGCGGTATGCAATAGTTTCTGTTTCTCTTTCGTTGTCGCGATTGTGTGTGTGTGTGTGTGAGTGTTAGCCGAGGCGGTTCGCCAGCGAATGTGTGTGTGTGTGCGTGAGTGTGCTTTAGCCGACAAAGTGCAACACACAGCGCAATGACCGACGTTCTCGAGCGTTGACTCGTTTCTGCGACAACTTTTCTCGCTCCTCGCCGATGGTAATAATGATCTCGACGTAATGACGATTTTCAGCAGCCAGTAAGCTTGTTGATGCTGTTGCCGATGACGTTGCGAACTAGCCCTCTCTCTCGCACATAGTCTCGCGCTCTCTCTCTCTCACTCTCTTTTCCCACACTCTCTCTCTGTCTCTCGGCCATTTTGCGGAAACTTCAACTCACCGCAAAACGCTCCAAAATGAGCAGCCAAATTGCGAGTTCCTTCCTTAATTGCGCACTCGTATCGTTTATGTTTTTCCTCACCTCTTCAATTCTCTCTTCCGTATAACAGATTTTCTCTTATACTTTCGTTTATAGCACGCATTTCCCCGGTGACGTCACGAGGCTTTCCCAACGCTTTTCATCGAGAAACTGTTGTTGTTTTGGCTGCACAAGCCGGCAATGTAAACAAAACATAAAATATATGAATGGGTGAGTGAGTCGTGCGGGTGTGTGTGTTTTGGCATTGGGTTGTGTGGGTGTGTGGGTGTGCGGGTGTTGGGGTGTTTGGGTGTTTGGTAGTTTGGGGTGGCAATTGGGGCCTCGATTGCACTGGTGTTGGTGCAAATTCGGCAATGCGTGTGCGCTGCGCCTGATGAATGAAAATTTAGCCTGGCGGCGTGGAAAGCGGGAAAACATCTGAGCAGCAGCTGCACGGTCATATGTTCCGAATTATGAGCCGAAAGTTATTTCAGATTTTAGATTAATTTTTCAAGATTACAGTTAACAATAACTTTCTAATCAAACCAAAATTATCATTACACAAAAAAAATCGTATTCTTTATAACATATAACCAACATCTTAACATATTTTTAAGAAAGTTGTTTCAAGTTAAAGGTAACTTACCAGACATTTTTTTGTATTTTTAAAGGAACATATTTCTATCTATGTTCCTTTAGAAATACAAAAAAAATGTCTGGTAACTTGAAACAACTTTCTTAAAAATATGTTAAGACATTGCCAAAATATCTTGATTAAATAGTTTTTTAATTGACCAGTAAATAAAATATTGAAATGGTAAAGACTACCAAATTTTAAAATTATTTAATGAAATTGGAATGCATTTGCCAATCAAAGCGACATCCAAACCAAATCTGTAAGTACTTGGATGGGCTAAAAAATTCCAGCCGTACTTTTTGGAAAGCAATGAGTTTGGGGCTTGAATTTGAAGCTAATACTCTGCCTTGCAGACAAATGCAAAAAGCATTGACAGGCCGTGTCGGAAATCACACGAAAATCGAGTATGCCCAGAGCAATCGCATTTTAATTTGAATTCTTTCTGGTAACGCTCTAACAAAAGCCCCCATGCGATGTGCACAACCAAAAAATGAACTTAAGTTTCGGCCAAGAATCTTGTTGAAGAATTTCTATTTGAGCATTTGTCATGTCTTCGCCTTAGTCTATAAAATATATTGTTGGTGGAAGGGGCAGGGGCAGGGGGAGGGGTGGCCCAGAACGCGGGGTGTGTGCAAATATGCGAAAGCTAAATGTCAGAGTCAACCCTTTCGAGCCATTCCGCCTGCTTTTTTTGTGCCCCCTTAAACTGGCTGGTGTTGTTGCCCCTTTTCGGGTGGAAAGGAAAGTTTTTATCTTAAGCTGCGCTGACAGGCAGCAAAGCGGCAAGCGAAGCAACACAAGTACACGCCGGACAAAGGAGCCGGGGGGGGTGGCGAAGCGGAGAACGGAAAATGGGAAATGGAAAACGGTCGGGGGACAATGGAAAAACGTCAAGTTATAGAAAATGCTAGGGCCTGCACAATGAGAAAAGTGTCACCAAAATGGCTAATCAATTGGGTATTTTTTAGGGGCGAACAATATTGTTTCGATTCTTTTAAATATCATAGCTCAAACATTTTCTTGTTTCTTCTTTTATTACCTGATAAGTAATATTATTTATTTATTTTTTCCTTTTCAATCCTTAACTGTATTTTTATTTATAAGTATTAATGTTGCTAATACACTATACTATACTGTTTTGTATGTTCTTTCTCAGTAAGAGCATTAATAAATAAAAGATTTTTTAAATATCACAACAAATATATTTAATTTAGCAGAGTTTTCTCCAAGTGCAGGAAAGGGGGAATAGAACTGGTCTTAGGGGGAGAAAAAATTAAAGGACATGCTGAACGCATTCCTTGGGACACGGGCTGACAGTGAGTGATTTGACCATACCCTCATTTGCGTGCAGCAAGGACCAAAGACCGAAGCTGAGCCCGAGATCCGAGTTCTGAGTTCCGAGATCCAGCCACCAATGGATTAATGTGCAAGGATGCGACTTGTCAGGCAGGCCAAGAAAATTACGTCAAGCTACGCAATGGGCCCGGTTTCTCCCCCATTCCCATTCCCTTTCCTATTCCAACCCATTTTCCTCTTGGAAATCTGATGATGAGCGCCGACTGCTGCGGGCGGGCAACTCAAATGGGAGTGGCTCATTTACGCGCTGCACTCGAGTTTCACCAGCAGCCGAAGGAGAAGCGGGGCGCCGAGAACTTTTCCAAGCTATTTCTGCGCCCAAATGACAGCGAAATGTAATAATGAAAAACTTTTTCTTTGTCAACTTGATGAGTATGAAATTTTTCACAAAAAAAAAAGAAAATAGAAAAGATTAAATAAAATAAAAGATGAGAGGGAAAGGAAAGGGTTGACGGTGCGGCGAGCTAGAAATATGAAACGTCAGGACTGGTCCTTGGTTAGCCTTCGAGATTAGTTATGGCAAAGGAATTTCCGAGCCAAGGCGCACGCAAATGATTGCATGCCGCATTACGCATACGCCCGGTTGTGCGTGGCGTGTTTTAAAATTGAATTTTAATATACAGCAGACACAAAGAGATGGCCATAGCTGGTCAGTCCTTGGCCGTTCTATAAGCCAGGTTCCCCTCAACACAGAAAAAAAAACAAAAAAAAAAACACATGTTCTGCATTTTTACTTTGTACTGGACCAGGACCTGTACCATCCCCACCATTTGGCTGCACCGCATCCAGGCTTGCGGAATTCATAAGCTATGTGCGTTTGCTACAGAAGTGGAATTTTCGCCACGGCAAAGGATACCCGCTTCCTGGTTTCCAGATCCCAGTTGCCTGTTCGCAGTTCGCAGATCCCGGGCATGCCATTAACCCACTCGCAAAAAGCGCAAAATCGCTTAAATTATTGTTACAAGCTGCCACTGCCGAGTGGCAGCAACAACAAGAACAACATGGCAGGGGGCAAAGGGCAAACCGCCTGAGCTTTTGGCCGCGCTTTGCTTTGAGTGCCAGTTAGCATAACTCCGTCGGCCGCAGGCGAATATGTCTGCTCCTGCCGCTTCTGCTCCTGATTTTCCTGCGCTGCTTTGGGTGCCTTCCTGATGCTCCTGATGTTGATGTTGCTGTTGCTGCTGTTGCTGTTGCTGTTGCCGTTAGAAATATTTCCGCCGAAGCAAAGGACAACCTCTCACCTGCCTGCCAGCTTGCCAACGCCAAAGAGCCAACTAAAAGTGTCTTTTGTGGGTGCTAACTTGCTTCTGGATAGAAGCAACTATGCACACACAACTGAAATAATAGGGAAATATATCACTCTTTTTCAAAATAATGTTAAAACATACATACATATAACAAGATAATTTTATGATATTTAATTGCATTTTTACTAATACTACCTACTAATACTTAATACCTTTATAAACCTTCAGAAAAAGATGTTCAAGTTTAATAAGTCCTTCTGTATATATACTTGAAAATGATAATAAAATTATTTTCTATTTTAATTCAATTCGTTTGAATATAATAAACATCAATTGGAAATAAATTGTAAGCATTATAATTGTAATTACCAAATAACAAATTATTCAGAAAAAAAATATTACTATAATTAATACAAGTCTACGCAATTTAATGCTTTACATAAGAATAAGATAGTTTTCATATTAAATATATTCGATCTAAGCTTATATTTCATTTTGCTTTTTTGCTATACATATAAATCTACCATTTTGTATATTTTGAACTGGAAGAGTAATAGGCGTACTAATAGATTAACCTGTATTGTATTGAGAACTTCCTCACCTACTTAAAATTATCTTGAACAAGTTAGTGCACCTTTTTTTCACTCTCTTAATTTAGTACTTTAAATTCCATATTAAGAGCGAGATAAATGCGATAGAAGAAAAAGCGATAGGGATACCACAACTCAACGTAATCTTATCAAAGTTTTAAAAGCTATCTATTGTTTACCAAAACAATAGGGATTGCACAACAAAATGCAACACGTAACCAAATAAATAATCAGCAAGCTGACCTATAAACAAACCATTTATTGCCAAAACAATATTTACTTTAAAACTATAAGGAACTTATCACGCAGAAGAAGGGGTTTAGTGGTCGATATCGGTGAACTTGAAGGGGAATGGAATAGCGGGTTCCATTATGAACATGGTCTTGTAAGGACGACTGGCATCCCGATTGAACTCCACGTGGAAGTTGCGAATCAACTTGGCCACCGTGGTCTCCATTTCCAGATCCACGATTCTCTTGCCGATACACATGCGGGGTCCAAATCCGAAGGGCAGGAAGGTGAATGGACTGGCCTGCCCCTTCTTTCCCGTCTCCGGATTTCGTAGCCAGCGTTCTGGTATAAACTCATCTGGATCTGCATAGTAGGTGCTGTCCTTCAGAAGGACTTGCGATCCCAACAGGACAGTGGTTCCCTTGGGTATATTGTAGCCCGAAAGTGTCACATCGTTTGGGCAGGCTCTCAGAGTGCCAATGCCATTGGGATAGTATCGCATGGCCTCCTTAATCACAGCCCTCAAATAAGGCATATCCTTCATGGTCTCCTCGTTGAGCAGAGTGTCCTTTGTGGGCATGATCCTTAGGAGTTCCTCTCGCAGTTTCACCTGCTTCTCGGGATTTTTCGACAGACAAAGTAGCACGGCCGAAAGAAGTGTGGAAGTGGCATCTTCGCCAGCAAATAGGATATCCAAACTCATTATCACCGCCACTTTGGCATCGATATCCATTAATCTCTGCAACATACTGTTGCTGTTTTGTTCACCCGCCTGGCGACGTTGTTCCAGCGCATCCTGATTTTCCTTTAGAATTTTAAGGGCTACATCCAAACTGTCGTTGAGTGTTTTCTTCATTTTCCTGTACGTTGGCGTGGAAATTATCTTCCACATCGAAGGCTGAAAGTCCAGCTGGAACGTCAACCTGAAGATATCCCTCGTGCACTGGAAAAGTGTTAACGCGTCTGGATTATCTCGGTTCTTTCGGATCAAACCCATTTGCCGATCGAAGGCCACTAATGCGAGTGACTCGAAAATGCATCGACTTATTTCGTCCGAAAAGTTATCAGGGACTTCTAAAGTAACAGGATCACGAATCTCCTTAATGCTGAAAGGTAAAAAGTATTGTACTTTGTGTTATCACTTTCAAAAATAATTACTCACCGCTCTATAAACTCATTGATGATGTTGGACAGCGGCTCATAATACATTTTCAAACCCCTGGGTTGCATGAAAACCGGATTAACCGCAGAACGTAGTTTGCCCCAAGTCTCGCTTTGTCTAGCATATAAAAAAAATATTTTTTAATGGAATATATTATAATAAAACTCTTGAACTCACGCAGCTATCAGACCCTGAACCTCTCCATAAACATCTGGTCTAACATGCTGGCGAAAATACACCATCGAATCAAGACCTTCGCGATGTGGCCAAATTCCCTCGTTTCGGAAAACCGTTTCTATATCCTTTGTGTTGAATGTGGTGACCCAATCATTGCGGCCAAACATTCCCGGCATTATGAAGATATCACCATAACGATTTCGCATCGTCGTGCTATATTCCGTAATCGATGCATTCTGGAATTCACCGCCGGGCATAAATGCCCTAATGAATTTGAATTTGTTTGGGCGTGGAACTTCATTGAAGGGCCTGGGTTCCTCAGAAAGCTTAAAATGGAAAATAATTTATTCAATATAAAGTAATTTCGATTGATCTTTCCATTTACTTACATTGTCACTAATCTGAACTTGTTTCAAGGCAGACGATGATCTCAGAAATCTAAGGGGGCCTTTGCAAATAGCAATGGGTCCCACATTTTGTATGGTATTCATTCTCGTTCTCGACATCTACTGAAAACCTGTAAGCTTCTGAATTTGATTATATAGCCAAGTCTTATCGCAAAAACGTAAAGATTTTAAAGAGAGTAAAAAACAGAGAGCGCTACACAAAGTAGAGCTCTCAAACAAACACAAACAAGAGAGAACGCTATAGTCGGGTGCCCCGACTATCAGATACCCGTTACTCAGGTAAAGGGAGTGCGAGGGAGATGGAGATAGAAACTTTGATCACGCATAACTTTTTAACGAATGGTCCGATTTGAAAAATTTCTTCTACATTTCGATAGGTATTGATAAACACAATAAAACTGCATTTTTACTTTTCCGAAATATTTAAATTTTTAAAATCGTATATAAGCGATTGTGGGCGTCAGTGGGGGCGTGGCACCATTTTGAAACAAACTTGCGCTGCGTAGGAACTCCTAGAATCTGCATGCAAAATGCCAATCTTCTAGCTTTTATAGTTTCCGAGATCTCAGCGTTCATACGGACAGACAGACAGACAGACAGACAGACGGACAGACAGACGGACAGACGGACAGACGGACAGACGGACAGACGGACATGGCTATATCGACTCGGCTAGTGACCCTGATCAAGAATATATATACTTTATAGGGTCGGAAACGCTTCCTTCTAGCTGTTACATACTTTTGCACGAATACAATATACCCTTTTACTCTACGAGTAACGGGTATAAAAATTGGCAAACACATCGTGATTCTACAGTTTCTTATCAAGTATACGGCGTTTCACCGTGAGAACTAAAAAAACCGGTTTGTTCTTACTTGTTCAATAAGTAATACGTCTAGTTACATTATGAATAGGCAAAAAAATCTGGAAAAAAAAAACAAAATACAACAAGAGATAACGCTATAGTCGGGTGCCCCGACTATCAGATACCCGTTACTCAGGTAAAGGGAGTGCGAGGGAGATGGAGATAGAAACTTTGATCACGCATAACTTTTTAACGAATGGTCCGATTTGAAAGATTTCTTCTACGTTTCGATAGGTATTGATAAACACAATAAAACTGCATTTTTACTTTTCCGAAATATTAAAATTTTTAAAATCGTATATGAGCGATTGTGGGCGTTAAAGGGGGCGTGGCACCTTTTTGAAACAAACTTGCGCTGCGTAGGAACTCCTAGAATCTGCATGCAAAATGCCAATCTTCTAGCTTTTATAGTTTCCGAGATCTCAGCGTCCGTATGAACGCTGAACAGACAGACAGACGGACAGACGGACATGGCTATATCGACTCGGCTAGTGACCCTAGGGTCACCCCTATAGGGTCGGAAACGCTTCCTTCTAGCTGTTACATACTTTTGCACGAATACAATATACCCTTTTACTCTACGAGTAACGGGTATAATCAGCAAGCTGACCTATAAACAAGCCATTTATTGCCAAAATAATATTTATTTTAAGACTATAAGGAACTTATCACGCAATAAGAAGGGATTTAGTGGTCGATATCAGTGAACTTGAAGGGAAATGGAATAGCGGGTTCCATTATGAACATGGTCTTGTAAGGACGACTGGCATCCCGATTGAACTCCACGTGGAAGTTGCGAATCAACTTGGCCACCGTGGTCTCCATTTCCAGATCAACGATTCTCTTGCCGATGCACATGCGGGGTCCAAATCCGAAGGGCAGGAAGGTGAATGGACTGGCCTGCCCCTTCTTTCCCGTCTCCGGATCTCGTAGCCATCGTTCGGGTATAAACTCCTCTGGATCTGCATAGTAGGCGCTGTCCTTCAGAAGGACTTGCGATCCCAACAGGACAGTGGTTCCCTTGGGTATATTGTAGCCCGAAAGTGTCACATCGTTTGGGCAGGCTCTCAGAGTGCCAATGCCATTGGGATAGTATCGCATGGCCTCCTTAATCACAGCCCTCAAATAAGGCATATCCTTCATGGTCTCCTCGTTGAGCAGAGTGTCCTTTGTGGGCATGATCCGCAGGAGTTCCTCTCGCAGTTTCACCTGCTTCTCGGGATTTTTCGACAGACAAAGTAGCACTGCCGAAAGAAGTGTGGAAGTGGCATCTTCGCCAGCGAATAGGATATCCAAACTCATTATCACCGCCACTTTGGCATCGATATCCATTAATCTCTGCAGCATACTGTTGCTGTTTTGTTCACCCGCCTGGCGACGTTTTTCCAGCGCATCCTGATTTTCCCTCAGAATTTTCAAGGCTACTTCTAAACTGTCGTTGAGTGTTTTCTTCATTTTCCTGTACGTTGGCGTGGAAATTATCTTCCACATTGAAGGCTGAAAGTCCAGCTGGAACGTCAACCTGGAGATATCCCTCGAGCATTGGAAAATTGTTAACGCATCTGGATTATCTCGGTTCTTTCGTATCAAACCCATCTGCCGATCGAAGGCCACTAATGCGAGTGACTCGAAAATGCACCGGCTTATTTCGTCCGAAAAATTATCGGGGACTTCTAAAGTAACAGGATCACGGATCTCCTTAATGCTGAAAGGTGAAAAGTGTTAAACATTGTTTTATAACTTTTAAAACTAACTACTCACCGCTCTATAAACTCATTGATGATGTTGGACAGCGGCTCATAATACATTCTCAATCCCCTTGGTTGCATGAAAACCGGATTAATGGCGGAACGTAGTTTGCCCCAAGTCTCGCTTTGTCTAAAATATAAATAAATTATTTTTTTAATGGGATATATTATAAAAAAAACTCCTTAACTTACGCAGCCATCAGACTCTGAACCTCTCCATAAACATCTGGTCTAACATGCTGGCGAAAATACACAATCGAATCGAGACCCTCGCGATGTGGCCAAATTCCCTCGTTGCGGAAAACCGTTTCTATATCCTTTGTGTTGAATGAGGCGACCCAATCATTGCGGCCAAACATTCCCGGCATTATGAAGATATCACCATAACGATTTCGCATCGTTGTGCAATATTCCGTAATAGATGCATTCTGGAATTCACCGCCGGGCATAAATGCCCTCATGAATTTGAATTTGTTTGGGCGTGGAACTTCATTAAAAGGCTTGGGTTCCTCAGAAAGCTAAAATTGGAAAGTTATTTATTTAATATAAAGTAATTTCGATTGATCTTTCCATATACTTACATTGTCACTAATCTGAGCCTGTTTCAAGGCAGACGATGATCTCAGAAATCTAAGGGGGCCTTTGCAAATGGCAATAGGTCGCACATTTTGTATGGTATTCATTCTCGTTCTCGACATCTACTGAAAACCTGTAAGCTTCTGAATTTGATTATATAGCCAAGTCTTATCGCAAAAACGTAAAGATTTTAAAGAGAGTAAAAAACAGAGAGCGCTACACAAAGTAGAACTCTCAAACAAACACAAAAAATGGCCAAACATATCATGATTCTACAGTTTCTTATCAAGTATACGGCGTTTCACCGTGAGAACTAAAAAAACCGGTTTGTTCTTACTTGTTCAATAAGTAATACGTCTAGTTTCATTATGAATAGGCAAAAAAATCTGGAAAAAAAAAACAAAATACAACAAGAGAGAACGCTATAGTCGGGTGCCCCGACTATCAGATACCCGTTACTCAGGTAAAGGGAGTGCGAGGGAGATGGAGATAGAAACTTTGATCACGCATAACTTTTTAACGAATGGTCCGATTTGAAAAATTTCTTCTACATTTCGATAGGTATTGATAAACACAATAAAACTGCATTTTTACTTTTCCGAATTATTTAAATTTTTAAAATCGTATATGAGCGATTGTGGGCGTTAAAGGGGGCGTGGCACCTTTTTGAAACAAACTTGCGCTGCGTAGGAACTCCTAGAATCTGCATGCAAAATGCCAATCTTCTAGCTTTTATAGTTTCCGAGATCTCAGCGTTCATACGGACGGACAGACGGACAGACGGACATGGCTATATCGACTCGGCTAGTGATCCTGAACAAGAATATATATACTTTATAGGGTCGGAAACGCTTCCTTCTAGCTGTTACATACTTTTCAACGAATACAATATACCCTTTTACTCTACGAGTAACGGGTATAAAAATAATAGCCTTTTTGATTAAAAATTTTTCAAGCCACAATATTGGCCTATCATTCAAAATGAATGCCTCAGCAGAATTCAAACTTTAATAGCAATTCGAGGTCTAAGCATAAATTTCCTAAGCCAAACAAAAAGTGATTGTAAAATGGGTATTTGCAGTTTTATTTTCAATTTTACGCCAATTTTACGAAATTAGCCGCTAATTAAATTTGCATTTTCCAATTGGCCAAATTGGCCAGCGCAGTCGACGGTCCACACACCTGACCAAAACACCCCAAAACACGCACCATTTCGACCATAACCGCTAAAACAACACGAGCCCCGTTCAAATGTTGTTCGGCTTTCGGTTTTGGCCCTCCCAATTAAACATCAATTGAGAAAGAGGCAATCCCCCACTGAGATAACACAAGTCGCGTGCCGGAGATATCACGCTTCTGCCACTCAAATCAAATCTAATCTAAAGGGAAATTCTTTAAGTGCACTAAATTAGATCGTTTATTTACAACACATTTCACCAGAAAGTATACTAATTTCAAAGCCATTTAATAGTCGATATCGGTGAACTTGAAGCGGAAGGGAATGGCCGGTTCCATGAAGAAGAAAGTCTTGAATGGACGACTTGAATCGTAGTTGAATTCCACCTGGAAGTTCCTGATCAACTTTGCCACACTCGTCTCGACTTCCAAGTCCACCAATCTCTTGCCAATGCACATCCGTGGTCCAAAGCCAAAGGGCAGGAAACTGAAGGCACTGATGGGGGTCTTCTTTCCAGTCTGCGGATCCCTTAGCCAACGTTCTGGCAGGAACTTGTCGGCTTGTGGATAGTACCTGTCGTCCTGCAAAAGGATATTTGAGGCGAGCATCACATTGCTGCCCTTTGGGACATTGTAACCCGAGAGAGTGACATCTGTAGGGCAAATGCGCAGGTTTCCCAACCCATTGGGATAGTAACGTAGAGCTTCCTTGATCACTGCCCTCAAGTAGGGCATATCCTTCATGCTTTCCTCGTTGAGAAGGGAGTCCTTAGTGGGCATCACCTTTAGGAGTTCCTCGCGCAGCTTTCCCTGCTTCTCTGGGTTCTTGGCCAAACACATGATCACAGCCGACAACAAAGTAGATGTGGCATCAACACCGGCGAACAAGATGTCCAAACTCATGACGGTGGCCATCTTGGGATCCACCTCCATCATCTTCTGCAGCATGCTGTTGTTATTGACCTGTTCTCCCGCCTGACGACGCTTCTCCACCGAATCCTGTGCATCCTTCAGTAAGTTCTGCGAGGCCAGCAACGAATCCTCGAGAGTCCTCATCATTTTTTTATAAGTAGGCGTGGCCACATATCTCCACATCGATGGCTTTATGTCCAACTCGAAGATATATCTTATCAGCTCTTTTGAAAATTTGAACAGTGCCAATGCATCGGGATTATCGCGGTTCTTTCTGATCATTCCCATTTCGCGATCAAATGCCACCAGACCCAGGGAATCAAAAATAAGTCGGCTTATTTCCTCTGAAAAATTATCAGGAACTTCCAGAGTTTTGCTATCTCGAATTTCCTTGATGCTGGAAAAGTTTACAACAAATCAGTGGGATTTTTGGACACATATCATTCTTACCTTACCGCTCAATAAACTCATTGTTGATGTTGGACAGTGGTTCGTAATATGTTTTTAAGCCCTTTGGTTGCATGAAAATTGGATTAAGGGCTGATCGCATTTTACCCCAGACCTCCGCTTGCCTAGAATTTAAGTATCAGAGTAAGTTTAAATTTAGCAGAACTCAAATTGTACAACGTACGATACCACCAGACCCATATTTTCTCCATACACATCAGGTCTTATGTGTGTCCGAAAATATTCAAATGAGGCGAAGACTTCTCGTTGCGGCCAATTTCCCTCGTTTCGGAAGACAGTCTCAATGTCCGTGGGACTAAAAGTGGTCACCATGTCCTTGCGACCGAACAATCCCGGCATTATGAAGATGTCACCATATCGATCTCTCATTGCGTGTGCAAAATCCACAATCGAAGCATTTTGAAACTCACCGCCCGGCGCAAAAGATCTGATGAACTGCCATTTTCCGGGACGTGGGATCTCATTATAAGGTCGAGCGTTTGTGGCTGCAGTGTCGGCAGCCTAAAGTTCACGAAAAAATAAATTAATTATCCACCAAATAAGTATTAAGTAATAGTAATAATGTTTCAACTCACATTGGCCAAAACCTGTGCCTGACTGGAAGCCGCCCTCATATACGAAATGGATCCATTTGAAATGGCCACTCGCTGTGCATTCTGAAAAATATTCATGGTAAGTCGTCAGCTAATTCAAATGAGCAACTGACTTCTGAGGACTGCAGCCAGATTTTTTATAGCGTAACCTTATCAACTATTTGTTGATAAGAGAGACTACCCGTGTGAACAAACAAAGCGAATTTATAGGCCAAAACAGAACCAAAACAAAAGTGATAATTAATTCAATCACTTCAAAAGTCGCAATCCAGCATGACTTGCAATTTTACATTGAGATTCAACGTATTTTAAGGTCTAAATTCTGGCCTATAGCGGCCATTAACCTTAAAGTATTTTATATTAGCAATTAATATAAATACTTCTGAACTGTAGATTCATTTTATTTTTAAGAAAGGGATTTGATATTGGTAGTAAATCCTAACATATCTAATAAAGAAGTGATTCTTGTGGAACACTTCAGTTCAGTCACCTGTTTAAATCTTTGTATGATGAAATTTCTGATAACAAAAGACTATACAATTAGACTTCGAAGTCTCTGATAAGAAATGTGTTTAAATCGTTATCACTGGTAAATTTTTGAGGGGGTCAAAATTGTATTAAAAACCTTCCTAGAGAATTGGCTGTAAAGGGTATCACCCATACGCACTGTTGCCTCTAGTTTTCCAAAATTTGTATAAACTGGCAGCGTTAGAAATGGGAATACGATTTTTTTTGTACTAATCTTATTCTAACTTAGAAGCTGTGAAAACGGTGAGAGTAAAGTTTATATTTTTGAACCACCCTAAAGTAAATTGTACATACAAATATGTGCGTCTTTTTTTAGCTTATCAGCACTTTAATAATTTGTTATTGTCGAAATGTCTGATTTGTTATTTAAATGCTTTCAGGGGGTGATAAAGATAACAGCAATCACCCGCTGGAGACAGAATACACTTAATTTAAATTTTATTTATTTATTAGTATTTATTACTATTAAATATAAAATTATTTATTTACAATATTTTAAAAGAAAGTTTGATAATTTCAAAGCCATTTAATAGTCGATATCGGTGAACTTGAAGCGAAAGGGAATGGCCGGTTCCATGAGGAAGAAAGTCTTGAATGGACGACTGGAATCGTAGTTGAATTCCACCTGGAAGTTCCTTATCAACTTGGCCACACTCGTCTCGACTTCCAAGTCCACCAATCTCTTGCCAATGCACATGCGAGGTCCAAATCCAAAGGGCAGGAAACTGAAGGCATTCATGGGAGTCTTTTTGCCAGTCTGGGGATCTCTTAGCCAACGTTCTGGTAGGAACTTGTCAGCTTGTGGATAGTAGCTATTGTCCTGCAAAAGGACATTTGAGGCGAGCAGCACATTGCTGCCCTTTGGGACATTGTAACCCGAAAGGGTGACATCTGTGGGGCAAATGCGCAGGTTTCCCAAGCCATTGGGATAGTAACGCAGAGCTTCCTTGATCACTGCCCTCAAATAAGGCATATCCTTCATGCGTTCCTCGTTGAGAAGGGAGTCCTTGGTGGGCATTAACTTCAGTAGTTCCTCTCGCAGTTTTGCTTGCTTTTCTGGATTCTTAGCCAAACACATGATGACAGCCGACAACAAAACAGATGTGGCATCCACACCGGCTAACAAGATATCTAGACTCATGACCGTTGCCATTTTGGGATCAATCTCCATCATCTTCTGCAGCATGCTGTTGTTATTGACCTGTTCTCCCGCCTGACGACGCTTCTCCACCGAATCCTGGGCGTCCTTGAGCAAGTTCTGCGTGGCCAGCAACGAATCCTCAAGAGTCCTGATCATTTTTTTATAAGTAGGCGTGGCCACATATCTCCACAGTGATGGCTTGATATCCAACTCGAAGGCATATTTAACGAGATCTCTTGAAAATTTAAACAGGGCAACTGCATCGGGATTATCTCGGTTCTTTCTAATCATTCCCATTTCGCGATCAAATGCCACTAGACCCAAGGAATCGAAAATAAGTCGGCTTAGTTCCTCAGTGAAGTTATCAGGAACTTCGAGGGTTTTGCTATCCCGTATTTCCTTTATACTGGAAAAAGTTAAGACAAATCAGTTGGATGTTAAGTCATATATTATCCATTACCTTACCGCTCAATAAACTCATTGTTGATGTTGGACAGTGGTTCGTAATATGTTTTCAAGCCCTTGGGTTGCATGAAAATGGGATTAAGGGCTGATCGCATTTTACCCCAGGCTTCGGCTTGCCTAAAATTTAAGTATCAGAGTTAGTTTAGAACAATTTGTAATTCATTTGTACAACGTACGCTGCCACCAGACCCGGATTTTCTCCATAAACATCAGGTCTTACGTGCGTCCGAAAATAAAGAAGTGAAGCGAAGACATCTCGTGCCGGCCAATTTCCCTCGTTTCGGAAGACAGTCTCAATGTCTTTGGGACTAAAGGTGGTCACCATATCCTTGCGTCCGAACAATCCCGGCATTATGAAGATGTCACCATAACGATCTCTCATCGCGTGTGCAAAATCCACAATCGAAGCGTTTTGAAACTCACCGCCCGGCGCAAAAGATCTGATGAACTGCCATTTTCCGGGACTTGGGATCTCTTTATATGGTCGAGGGTTTGTGGCTGAAGTATCGGCAGCCTAAAGTTCACGAATTGATAAATGAATTATCCACCATAGAATACTAATACTATTTCAACTCACATTGGCCAAAACCTGTGCCTGACTGGAAGCCGCCCTCATATACGAAATGGATCCATTTGCAATGGCCACTCGCTGTACATTCTGAAAAATATTCATGGTAAGTCGTCAGCTAATTCAAATGAGCAACTAACTTCTGAAGACTGCAGCCTTCAGCTTTTATAGCGTAACCTTATCAATAAACAGAGAGATTACCCTTGTGAACAAACAAAGCGAATTTGTAGACCAAAACAGAACCAAAACAAAACTGATAAATAATTATCTCACATCAAAAGTCGCAATCCAGCTTGACTGGCCGTATTACATAGATTCAACGTATTTTAAGGTCTAAATTCTGGCCCATAGCTGCTATATAATCATAACATATCTAATAAACAAGTGATTCTTGTGGCACACTTTAATTTAGTCACCTGTTTAAATCTTTGTATGATGAAATTTTTGATAACAAACGGCTATATAATTTGACTTCAATGCTTCTGATAAGAAATTTGTTTATAAGCGAACGTTTTGACCGATAAACATTTTTATATGTACATATTCAACCAGGCATTGGCACATTTAAGCTCTACCAAAATATATTTGTTGGAAAAAATACGTTTTAAGATCAGAGATTTGGCTGCAAAGCTTATCACTCATACGCACTGTTGCCCCCAATTTCCCAAAGTTGTGTTCTTATTTGAATAAGCTGGCCCATTAGAAATGGAATTAAGTTTTTTGTACTAATCTTATCCTAACTAAAAAAATAAAAAAATTTTTGCGGCTTTTTATCTTTTACTATCAGAACTTCAATTAATTTTTATTGGCGAAATACCTGGTTTGTTATTCAAATGCTTTCAGGGGGTATTCCCATCCAAAGATAATAGCAATCGCCCGCTGGAAACAGAACTTAAATTCAATTTAATCTAATTGGAAAATCTATTACTATTACAAATATTATTACTTGTTTACAATATCTAACCAGAGAGTATAATAATTTCAAAGCCATTTAATTGTCGATGTCAGCGAACTTTATGGGAAGTTTCAGCTATTGCATAATTTAGTTATAGATAACTATTTGTAAACCCAATTTAATACACCGATTTGAGACCTCTTTAAGCCGATATCTTATTACAATTAATAATAAAGTTTCCTTTTTGCAATTCGTGTGTAGGGGCAAGCCAACTGAAACTCTTGAGTTTTCAAGACTTGGCCAAGAAGTGCAGGGGTTGCCCAAACAAATTACGCCAGCCAAATGCAATCCTCGAAGAGGCTGTAAATCTTGGCGGCATTGTTGTGCTACGTTCCCCCCCTTTTCCGGCCTCCCATGTGCATAATCAGTGCACTCAGGCGGGGCACAAAAGGCGGAGCGGAGAACAGAACCCAGTTATGTTCAAGTGTCACCAAGGCTGGCCGCAACTGTCGGCAATAACAAACCCAGTGTCGAGTCGAGTCGAGTGGAGTGGAGCGTTGTTGAATGCCCCGATTCCCTGCCTCCGATCCCCAATCCCCAATCCCCAATCCCCAATCCCCGATCCCCGTTTTCCGACTCTGCTCCTGACGCAACGAGACATGTTCCTGCGGCTCCATTTTGTACCTGTTCCCGACGTACATGGCAGTCATCCCATTTCTCCTCCATTTCATTGGTCCTGAGTGCGTGTGGTCTCCGGTTGCAGTTGGAGTTGGAGTTGGGGCTGAAGTTGCAGTTGCTCATTTCTAGCCATCCCGTTCCACATGGCCTAAACCATCTGGCATCTGCCGCCTGACATATCTCTTGAATCCATTTCTGAATTCAGTCTTTGGTTTCTTTAGCTCATATGTGGCCCCTCCCTCCCCTCCCCTGCCTTTGTTTCACTGCCTGGTGAAAGGTTTTTAAATTTCGACTGGAGCACCCTTGAAGCTGCCTTTGGCAAGTGGCACAACATCCTGCACAACCGGGGCATCCAACACACACTCCCACTTATCTGCTGGAATTTCTCACGTGTGCCGGGCGTCTTTTGAAGACCGGGCTCTGAGCGCATCAGGCGCAACGACTTGAAGTGTTTATATTCCATGCCGACAACTTTATCCACACCCCAGAGGCACTGGGAGAAACTAATGCTATTGGAGTACTTAAACGTATTTTAGATCAGGTCAAGTCGTTCTGATTTACTGATATTTTAAGAAATTTATCATCAACTATATTAATCTATAAAATAATTATTTAAAATATGTGTATGTAATCAATGGTAAATACCTAAAACGATTGGCCAATAATTATTACTGTATCTTAAATTGTAAAATCAACATTTATGTATTTAATAGCTTTATAAAAATAATTCTTTTAAATTTTGTATCAGTATTGTATATTCAAAATCAACAAAATTCAACATATAACCAGCTAACTAGCTAGCCAAATAT